GAATTAAAATAATTTTAATATATATATAATAGTCATTTCTTTGATAATCAAATATATATATATATATATATATATATATATATATATATATATATATATATTTGCAATTGTGAATTTTTAGAGAACTTATTACTTGCACTATATCTTAAATTATTATGCATGCTATAAAAAATGACCACTTGCTATTTGATTGAGATTAATTATACAATGGATTATACGCACGTGCACACCGTCAAGCGAGATAAATCAAGACTATCTTGCTATTTTTGCCAAGCTATGCGCACTAAGAGTTTTAACACAATTTATTTAAAATTCATTTTTTTCTCAATTATATTTTTAATTACATAGTTTTCTAATAAAATAATTTTACACGTAGTCTTATAGCTATTTCCTACTCTTTATTGTAAAATTTCCAAAAAAATATTTTTTACTTCAAATAATCTCTCTTAAAAAAATAAGTATTGAAAAATAGTACGTGAAAATTAGTTTCCATTAACTTTGATCAAATATTTTTAAGCGTTAACGCAATCGAGAGAGATAGCTTCGAGTAAAAATATTTAATTACGTTATTAAACATGCTTAATTTTCTCCATAATCTCGAAATTGTTTTGATTGGAGCTCGAAATCATTACGTCGAGGACTATGACATAACAAGTTGGTAAATGCTTGTTGTATGTCACTGTTGACGGATTCTTTTACTGATTTATGAGGTGACAATAAATTGAATTAAAATCGCCAAAATCTTTTCATCACTTTAACGGTGTACATGTGCAATGGGTTAATAGCAAAAAGAACGTGGGTGAATTTTTTTTTTTTTTTTTTGATCAGTGAAATTTTGACTCCTTCAAATCTCACTACATCATCCTATTGGTAAATAAGTATCTAAATTATGATGGCCAAGTCGCAACAAGGTCCCTATTACAACGAGTTTTAAAAGTTCAGAACTAAATGCTTCATGGGCTTTCGGGTGGACGATTAACTCTCAAAAATCAATTTCCGAGCAAGCAAATTGCAAGGCTTCAACTTCATCAAAAATATTCTTCTATTATTAGAAATTGTCAGCTCTCTAAAAAATTCGAGTATAGCTATATTTAGACAAAAATGAAGTTGAAGGTAGAGATCGATTTAATTATGAGGGAACTTTATTAATTAGTAGTAAGAAAGCCTTTTTTTTTTAAATGTAATTCTTTTTCCCAAGACGAACCAACCAAATAGGCAAAAAAATGGAAAAAGAAAAAAAAGAGTGGTGAACAAAAAATGGCTTTTAACTATAGTA